AAGGCACGCCTGTGTAATAATCATGCTGTCTAATCAGCATCTTGATATGCCACACCTGTGAGGCAAAGGAGAAGTGCTCACTATCAAAGATTTGTTTCAGATTTGTGAACAATATTTGAGAGAAATGGTTATTTTGTTTATATAGAAAATGTTTTAGATATTTGAGTTCATCTCATGAAAAATGTTCAGTGTACATCATGCTGTATTTGAGTGCGTACGCACCGTTTATAAATGAGGCCCCTGAGCTGAGTTTATCCCGAGCTTGAATGACACACAGAGAGACCAATCAAGGGCTTTGATTTATGATCTGTATGACAGTGGCCATGTCGGCAGGCCACATCATGTAGACAGCCAGTCACCCTCTGTGAGGCAGACCCACATTTGCGCAGCGTTGCGTTCACCATAGCCCAAGCAAATTCTATGTGTGGGAAACCCTGAGATCACACCTAAAAACAACACTTATACCTGTCATAATATAGCAGATAACAATCAGCCATAGTTAATTTGTACTCTCCTAAATTCATCAAGTATTAAACCAACATTTTTATTTTTTTTATAGCATCCATGAGATCGAGAGGAGAGCCCTGCCCGAGTTCTTCAACGGAAAGAACAAGTCCAAAACTCCAGAGATGTAAGCTCCATATAAACACAGTAGACATGTGTCATATACTTGTATAATTCTTGTACATTCTGTAGACTCAAAAATATCTGTTTCCTGTCTTGTTAAACTAATCTTTTTGTGGTTCTTATCACAGATTCCTGGCCTACCGTAACTTCATGATCGACACGTACCGGCTAAACCCTCAGGAGTACCTCACCTCCACCTCCTGTCGCAGGAACCTGACGGGAGACGTCTGTGCCATCATGAGGTGAGCACAGGGTTTTTTTTTTTACCAAGTTTGTAATTTAACCAAATATCGACATTACTTCTGCAAAGGCAGCTCCTTCCCCTGTCACGTCTGTCATCAACAGACAAACTGAAGAGGATTTTACCCAAAAACTTTTGTAGAGACAATGCAGAACATCTTTATTTAGTGTTGTTTCAATTAAATTAATTTACATTTTCAATGAAAGATGATTTCCTGTTTTTATTTCAAAAAGTACAAAATCTAGTTGAGATGCTAATTTAATACATTTTGAAATCTGTTTATTTATTGCTTGACATGTCGTTTTTGTGGTATTAAACATTGGGAAACCAACAATATACCATTAACAGCCACTGTGCCACTCGAGATGTATACATTTCCTCATAGGACTCGATACATTATCAACAACATTTGAAAAATCCCCACAATCCCCTCTGTATGAATACATTGAAATAATCTGGACAAAAATGACATTTATCATATATTTTTCTCTCTCCAGGGTTCATGCCTTCTTGGAGCAGTGGGGTCTGGTGAACTACCAGGTGGACTCTGAGAGTCGCCCGCTGCCCATGGGACCCCCTCCCACCCCTCACTTCACCGTGCTGGCCGACACACCCTCTGGCCTCATTCCCCTGAACCACAGACCCCCTCCGGTAAGACTGACTGAAATATATACAAAGTGAAAGAAGAATAAAAGGAGTTCGTTAAATTGGAGAAAACAATTGAGAGAGCTTCAGTGCAATTCAGTCTTATTTTACTGCTAGCATTATAACACACAGTAGAATTTGGTATTAAAGGTCACCTATCATGCTATTTTTAGGCAATAGCATAGGTCTCAGATATATACAAATATATAAAAAACATGTCTATGAAGTGTTTTGCTCAAAATACCAAACAGATCACCCATTCTAGCCATGCCTCGTATCCCTCTATTTCACTTCCTGTTTCAAAAGTGCTGATTTGGGGTATAAAGCTTTAAAAAAAATTGGTAAAAAAAAGGAGGGGTCTGAGCTCATGCGGGACCCGGCAGCTACTGTCTAAACTAAATGCTGCCGTGATGAAACGCCATATCATGGATTATCAAGGATTATTTCTGAAACAGTATGGAGCTCAAAGGCTTTCTCTCTTGCCGGTTATACCACAAGGTGAGTTCCTTTTTATTTCCTGCTTCTTCACACACATGCTCTCCAGTACAGGTTAGCTCTGAGTGTTAGCGATGCTAATGTAAACACCGACCATATTACGTCCAAAACAGTCGGGCATTGTTTCTGATAGCAACGTTTCTGATAGGGCCGTGGGTCCACATTTCAGATGTTACATCTTCAAATCTGGATCAGCTCCGTTTTAGCCCCGTTTTTAGAGATTTGGGTACGGAGGAAAAGAGAGAGGGTTTTATTTTCTGACGCTGCGTGAGTTCCCTGACACACCGGGGAGTCGGACACATGTTTATGTATAAAAGACATCAAAAAGTGCCTTTTGCATGATAGGTCCCCTTTAATGTCTACAGGCAGAAGTACCACGCCATCATTGCTCATGTGTTGTTTCCTCCCTCTAGATTCCCCCTCAACAGCAGATGCCAAACTTTGCAGAAAAAATCAAAGACAAGTCCATCGACCTGCAGAACTACGGCCTGCGCTCCGACCTCTACAACAAGAAAAATTTCAAGGTCAGCATGCTACTAGCTTTAAAACCTTTTAAAAGTTAGAAATTGTTCTAGTTTGACTTATTTTGAAAGGTCGTGGAATGATTTCTTAAAAGCGAGTTAATTAAAAAAAGCTTAAACGGATATTCATATACATTATCTTGGAGGTTATTTTGCTATTTTACTTCAAATTCCTGCCAATACATGTTCTTGTCCTAATATCTATATTAATGTGATTTTGCTGTTGTTGTTCCTCACAGGGTAAAACTACCAACTCCACCAGGGATTGGACCGAGCAGGAGACTCTTCTGCTGCTGGAGGTGAGTCTCAAAGACATCAGAGACGAAAGAAAGCTACAATAATACTCTAAATTGTAAATACGACTGCTGAGCGCTGAAACTTCCTCCAATCAGCTGTCATGAATACTTATGGATATTAAAGATGGTGATTTTACTTGCTTGTCGTCACCTATTTTCCTTTTCAATCTTATACTTATTATTTTCTCACCTACTTTTCCTTCCTATTCCCCCCTCTTAAACTCTTTTTTTAAGCCCCTGTATTTCATTTATTCCTTCTTTTTTTTTGACTTTTTTGTTTTCTCACCTTACATTTAAATTAACAATTTTATTCCACAGTACATAAAACTCCATCCTCTGTTTCCTTACGACCCTTTAATCTATGTTTCTGTCCTCCTTCTCCTGCAAACCTCCTATAAATATCGCATACTGACCAGATATAAAGACTGACACGTGTGTAATTCTCCCCCCCCCCACTCCTTCTAGGCCCTGGAGATGTTCAAGGACGACTGGAACAAAGTGTCAGAGCACATCGGGTCGCGCACCCAGGACGAGTGTATCCTGCACTTCCTGCGGCTGCCCATCGAGGATCCGTACATGGAGAGCACCGAGGCCTCTCTGGGCCCTCTGGCCTACCAGCCCATCCCCTTCAGCCAGTCTGGAAACCCCGTCATGAGCACCGTGGCCTTCCTCGCCTCCGTGGTGGACCCTCGGGTGGCGTCTGCTGCAGCCAAGGCAGCGCTAGGTGAGAACTGATGGGGGTGGAGGATAAAACTGCTGAGTCACATCTTTGAAATGTCTTTTGAGCTCTGCAAAGTAGATATTTATGAACTTTCTTTGGATATCTATTGTTAATATGTGGAAATGTGTATATATAAATAATATTAGCATGCGATGAAACTGATAGATAACTATTTTTGACAGTTGCTTCCCAAAGTTCAACCATTTTAAGTCGTACCAAATTACTAATTTATAGTCCTAAAATTAAATGAACTGAAAGCCTAAAAAAAATCTCTGTATTGAAATGGTGGCAGCAGTCACTCACTCTGTTGCACAACTGCATTAACTGTGTTCATCACAGCTGGTACATGTGGAGCTAATTTCAGTTGATTTAAATATTGCTAGTGGATATTTAATCATTAATAATTGTATGATTTAGATCTACAGATGCACGTACAATAATTATAATAAAAAAACAATTTTAAATCACAAACATTAGAGCATTCGAGTCTGTAAACTTAAAAACTTGAAAATGTTTAATTTCTAAATACATTGACTAAAAAATAAACAATATCTTAAAACAATCCTTTATAGATAATGAGGTCTTACAAATGCAAGATAGTAATTGTACCCATTGGGTGTCAAACTCAAATACTCAGTGGGCCAAAATAAAAAAATGTGTACTAGTCGAGGGCCGGACTGGTTCAATGTTTATTGCAGAACGTATTGAAATGAACTTATTGCACATATTAAACCTGGAACTAACAAAGCTTAAATTATT